CCCTGCCACATCCATCGGGAAGCAGGAGCCTGCGGCAGGGGCAAAACGCTGCTCCAAAAAGCAAGCGCCAGGGAAATGGATGAAAGGAAATGAGAGGGACGTAAGGAAGGTTATTTGAAAAGTGGTGCAATTGAAAGAGGGAGAGGCAACAAGAGGTTGGATGAAGGCGATGCTCTGAACTTAGCCGCACGCAGACCAAGTCGGGGCGTCCCAGCACGGTGCTGCGCGGGGTTGGGCGCCTGGTGCGGCGGTGGGGACTGCTTACGGGGTGTCCGCAGAGCTGCGGGTCCTCGGCACCGCTGGAGCTTCCCTGCCCCCAGGAGCAGGGGTACAGCCCCTGCCGGGGCCTTTGGCACGGCTGGGCCAGGTAGAAAGCAGGTCATCATAGAAAGTTCTTCCTATATATAAAGACTGGATAAAGTACAAGCATGTACAGCAAGGTGGTTTTCTGGAAGTTTCAAGAGGAAAACAAGAGCGGGAGGTTTTGAGAAACATTTGCTGCTTGTCCAGAGAGGGAAATCCTCAGAGGCTGCTGAATTTACTCCTCCTTCATTCTTACTCACTAAACCTAATGAAATTTAGCTAAAATCACTTGAAACTTGATACCAGAGTGAAAGGAGACCATTACGTTTCTTCTCTTTAAAGCAAACCCAAACACACTGCTGGCACTTTCTGCACCAAGCCCATCAGTTCTCTCTTTAAATCTGTCTATTGAAATGATGTCTTGTCATGGTATGAAAGCATCAAGCAACGGAGAGCCTGCCAGCGCCTGAGAAAAGTTCTTCTAATGGCAAGTTTCCCACACTTAAAACTTATTTCTGCTCTGAATTCCTTTCGTTTCAGCTTCCCGCTAGTGGATCACACTGTGCTTCCCTCTCCTTAATCACATCCGTAAATCCCCAGCATTATCTACTGAAATAAACAATTGATAAAATTGTCACAAAGTTAATGGCAAAGGGTGGAGTGATCAAAAGTAGAAATGGTGAACAACCCCGAGAACCCCTTTCAGTTAAAACACAACCTACACTATGAAATAAAGTAGGAACCTTCTGGAGCACAGAAAATGCAATCAAGGAGGGGGAAAAAATTTGGGCCTAATAATGGCTGGCAAGCTAACATCATAATACTAAACATTATACAAATAAAAAACCAACTATGGGGTTTGGATTTTTTTAGTTTGGGGGCATACAGTTCAAAACAGATGATCCCTTTGGTATTTTTGTTGTTTTCTACTTGTATCTGAGCAGAACTGGACTTCATTATTCAAAACTTTTGTTTGGCAGTTTCTCTGTATAGTCTGAGCTACCTATCAAATTCATTTTATTTACCATTTTAATTATAAGCATTTCATAGATTTAGAAAATGAAGGCGCAGGAAGATTTAGGGTATTATAGACTTCATGGCCAGAAGAGACCACCATCAATCAGCTAGCCTGAGATCTTGTAGGCAGGATTTCCCAGTTCTGTCCAAGGTCATTTGGCAGGTGAAAAGCAATGATTTCCACACACCAGTCTGATATTCTGACACTTAATCACATCTCAGCTGTTGCTGCTCCCCTGGTAGAATCTGCTAAATAATTAATTCCCTCTTTTCACCTAGTTTTTCATATACTTTAAAGGAGTTTTGATTTTGTCCCCTTGTATATTGTTTGCCCTTTGTTTAAACCTCCCCTTGAGATGCCTTATCATAAGGCTTAGATTGGAGAGGGTATTTTTAATTTTTTTTTTTTTTTTTAATTTCCAGAATCCCTTCCCAGGCACTAAAGACTCTTACATTTTTCCGGGCAGTGCAGGATTGCGAGTAAACAATTACAGCTCGCCATCCTCTGAGCGCAAATCAATTATAATCGACTTGGCCCCAATGGGCTGGCAGGACTTACTCTGTCCCTGCGCAGAGAGAGGGGGGCACAGCCGCGCACGTGTGGTGCTTGGGGCACTAACCCTTCCCTTCCCTCTCTGATGGGAAAATGCAAGAGAAATGCCAAGCCCTGCTACTTGGTTCAGTAGGATGGTTAAAGAATGCTGGAGGAAGGCAACCACTGCTACCGACTCCTGCTTTTCTCCCGCAAAAGTGAAGCATTCATCGGGGAATGACGGAGTCAAGGAGGGAGGAGCAAGTTTTCCTCCCCCGGCCGAGCATAACCTATCCTCTTGCTCTGAAGGGTTACTCTGCCTTTTCACCAGCACATTAGCATTTTCCAGGCTGGAAGGAAGCTGTGCTTCTAAAGCTCAGGCTGTAATTGGAAAAGTTTGCCAGGACAGACCTAATGAGGCCACAGCTAGTACCAGCAAAACCATGCCATGCTTGAAGTGGTTTAATTCAGTCCCCTGGGCGACACAGCCACAGTTAACAACAGGACTTTTCATAAGTGAATGAGCACCATTTGAAAATGTTATTTTATTTCAGAGGTCTCTCGCACCTCATCGGCACGAATGGAGCCACAGACACTGCAAACACAGACCTGTCCTCGCTCCCTTCCAAATCTTGCTGCACCTTCACACCGAGGAGCAGCTGTCCTACCCACCTCCTGTCCACAGGCAAACTGAGAGAGCAAGAGAGCAGCCAGTGCTGTAAAATGAGGCTTTTCACTCCCTGTTCAGGCGCAGCCTTGACCAGAGAGTGACTTCCAGAAAGCTGAGCAGGAACTCTGAGTCCTTCCCGTGATAAAAACCAGACCGCCTGGAGCTGGAAACCGGACACTCATGTTTAGCTCCCCAAATCGGAAGCTGTAAGTCAAACTGACTTGCACAGAGCCACATCACATCGGTGGCACAGACGGGACCCAGGGATGCGACCCAGTGGCCCCTGAGATGCTGCTACCCCCACCCACAGGGATCCCCTCTCCTCCATTAGGGAGAGCATGATCAGCCAGAGCCATTCCTCCCCCAACACTTACACCCTTTGTTTGCAAAAATTAATAACCAAGGCAGCACTGGGGCTAGATCAGAAAGAGTTAATGGGGTTACAAAGGGTTTTGCTGGCCTATTTTTCAGGCAGGCACCCTTTAATCTCCTTTGGAAACACCTTCACAAAAAGGCTGGTACAACAGCTCAGCTGGAGCCAGGATTTAACGTGGAAGAACTTGTCCCAAAGAGATTAAAAGCAGCAGTCGGGCACTGACCCTCCCGTCAGACGGGCAGGAATTTCTCACCAGGGACAGGGAGGCAAGGAGGGTGGCCGGGTCCCCGGGAACTGCTGCAGCATGCCATGGCTCCTGCCATCCATGCACCCAGCATGCTTCTCAGAGAAGCCAAAGCAAGCGTGCCTGGAGCAGGGCTCATCCCCACGAGCTGCCGGCACGGTGCAGAGCAGCACCCCATGCACAGGCTGCCTCTGCAGCACAGGAGTCTCCCCAAGAAATTGGGGAATGGCTGGCACCACTTGTGATGAAGGGTTAAATCCCATTGCCCCTACCCCATGGTAATTCAGACCCAGCTCAGACTAGAAAATACAGTAACAGGTACCAGCGCAGGTGAAGGCTGACGATGAGAGCACGGGGACAGACAGACCATGCACTGGTATCACAGCCCTGCCTTATGCACACAGAGGGGAAAAAGAGGAGATGGAAAGAAGACATTGGAAGAAAGAGAGTGAGAAAAGAAAAAGGAGGGAGAGAGGACAGCCACAGGCATCCATGCAAGCACAGCTCAGCCCTTCAATCCCCCCTCCGCCTTACCTGGGGGTCCCCAAGGCGACTGAGGTCTGGATAAAGGTAAAACAGGATTCCCTGGGACGCCCCAGGCAGGGAGACTCCCCTGATCAGCAGAACGACCAGCATGAGGTATGGGAACGTGGCCGTGAAATACACCACCTGGGAGGAGGATGAAGGGACAAGCATGAGCGAGCAGTGCAGGCCAAAGCACACGGCTGGCCAGCAGCACAGCACCGACCCCCGGGCTGGGGGAGATGGGCAATGGCATGGGACAGGTCAGGCTGCCTCGCCGAGCACCTTGCTGTCACCTGTGGTAGAAAGAAATGTGTTTTAATATGCGCCCAGGAAACTTGTGGCGTGCCATAGCATGTCTGGAGCCAGAGAAAACCTTTCTAGTCCTAAGATTAATCCAGACCCTGAGCCAGGCTGTCACCAGGTTGGAGTCAGAGTAGCTCTACTGAAGCCAGCGGTGTAACATCTACGTGCATCAGAGAAGGAGCTGCCCCCAGTATCCATCTGCACATCCCTACCCCACACAGAGTCCGAGTCACACACGGAAAGTCTCTTCTCCACAGCATTTAGTAGCAAGGCTGAAGGGGTGTGCAGATAAGAGAGACACCCTGAAACGTGATTGCTACCGAAGGACCGGCAGAGACAACACTGGGGGTCCCCACCCAGGGCTGGCACTGGCAACTGGCTTTTGACAACTGGCTTGTGCCCACCACTCCCCACTGCAGTGACTCGCAGCCGCTGCCTCTGACTGACCCCTGTTCAAATACCCAACACGGGCATTTCAGGCAGAGCAGGGCAGCATGTCTCAGACTTGCCACCAAGGAGGCAGACCCAAACAGGACCTTTAACCTGTGCCTTCTTGCTTTTTATGCCCCTAGCCCTATGAGCAATGCAGCCGTACTCAGGTAGGGTTGAAATCCCTTCCTCTAGCAAAGGAGCCACGTCCCTTGGGGGGATGCCGCAGGCCAGTATCAGCTAATCCTTTCAGGGACTCCACTCTGGTAAATATAACATTTAATTGGGTGATTACCAGGGTATTTTCAGGACTGTTCAGGCTAATTGCTGTAGCATGCCACAGCAACAACATGCTGTAGTCTGTGTTTCCCACACAAACAAACTGATAGCAAGGGCTCATGCAGCCTCCCCAGCAATTCAAGTAGTGTCGTTAATCCCTTTGCATTGCTCCCACACCTTCCAGGGTTATTGACCATCTTGAAAAAAAGTTGTTCAGTCTGTTGTATTATGCTAGGCCAAAAAAGAAATGTTGCTCCTTCAGGTTTTCCCTGTGTGGACATGCTGAGTGAGGATTTGCATCAGCACTCTTCACTTGAATGCTACCCTACAGCTCTTTTCTCAGCTTTGGCAGTTACACACCAGAAAGCTAAAGCTCATCTCTGGAGGAACCAGAAAATGTAATGATGTGAAATGATCTATTTCTCACACCTGCCCATCCACCCAGAATGAGTTGTTTCAAAACCACCTAAAGCCCACCATCCCTGAGCGGGGGTCACAGGGTCTGCCACAGCTATAGCAGTTTCTGCATTACAAGAGGTCCTACTAAGAACGAATGTATGGTTTCCCTGGTCAGTACGACCACTTTCGCTCTGCCCAGGGGTAATTCTTATGATCTGAGTAGTGATTCAAAAAGAGATTTTTTTTCTGGATCCACTCTGATGTACTCCATCTGAATAAAGCAATGTCCAAAGCACCTGACGTTGCAATATTAGTCCTCCTCTAAGTCACGATACGCACTCTTCAGTGATTCAGTTTTGTAATGCAGAAGGACAGAAGGATTTGAGAGAGATCCTATTCTTGAAAAACCACACTACTAGATTATCATCTCTGTCTGCAGCTCCAGGCTTCCTGTGCATTTCATACGCCCCGCTCTATATATCACAGCAGTCTTAGGTAGTGCCACAGAAGTCAGTGAAAAATACCTTCTTGCTGGGGCTCATGATTGCCTGAGATGTCTGCATGAGCAGATCCATCCCTGTCCCTCTGAATCTGCATCCTGAACATTGAAGGAACCCAGGGACAGCATCCTTCAATACAGGCAAACACCATCGTTCATTTCGTTCTCAAATTTTTGAGGAGCCCTGATTTAGAGCTTTTCAGTGACAGTTAATCAAATCTGCAGGTCTGCAAGTTTTATAATCATCCTTGTATTTACCACACAACCAAATTCTCCGTCTAGGAAATGACAGGATGCAAGTCTAACCTTTCTCAGCTCATGAAAGCAAGATTAAAATCATAAAAACAACCCATTGCCTTTGAACCCTAGTGCACGTTCTTCCAGGATGCCAGGTTGCACATTCTTGGCTGGATCTCTAATAACATCAGTTTTAGGAGCTATTATCTCTAATAACATCAGAATACAAACTGGTAGTTGCCTGGTGTATGACTTGGGTTCACATTTTGGTAACATCCTATGTGCCCTGCAGCCTGTGTGAACTAGCGTGTTAAGCTTTTCACTCAACAGTCACTCACATCTGCACTGAGACCAGAGGCCTGAATTTGGAGAACGTTTTGCTGGATTAAGAGTGCCAGACTTCTATCTAACAATGGGAACATCTGGATCCAATGAGATATTACTCAGTGCTTGGCTCAGACCCAATCTTTTTATTTCTCGGGCATTGTTAGCACTAACTACATCACTAGGAACCTTGCCGGGATCAGTGTGATCGTTCTGTCACATGCTGGTCAACAACATCCAGGGTTTTATTTGAATCTGATCCACATGCCTCGGCAAAGTGGTTCCATCTGTGACAACCTCCTGCATCTGCGAGTGCTCCTCGGGACAGGCAGTCCCCACGTCGGAGGATGCGGACTGCTGCTGCTGTTCTGAGTAGGGTGATTTCAACTCATGCTGTTTGCCCCTCCCCAGAACTAAGGTATATCTCTTCCCCAGCAGGACTGTATTCCCCAAGCCATTATTCTAGCTAGGTTATTAAATATGCGGAGGGTTGATAAACCTATGGACACTGTTGCTTTACTGAAAGAAGTTCTCTGTTTTCAAGAAGATAAGATCCACCATCGCTTGTCTTTTTGCTAAAAAGCACTTGCTTTTAACCTAGAACTTGTAACTAAAATAGATTGAATTTGTTCTCAGCACTTCCCACACTATGTTTGCTGTATCTTAGTATCATATTTGCTGTTATTAGACTGCCTCTGCTTTCTTTTACCAGGCCACCACAGCAAGCAGTTGCTCTTTTCTTCTAATTTTGCTCCATGGAAACCAGAAAACATCATCTCTGCAAGTTGCTTGATTTCTCTGTCATGTTTCATAATCCCAGACCATTCTGGAAGCAGGAGAAACTGCTAACATCCATGCCATCAACTTGATGGAAATGGATGCAGCTAAAATTTAAACCCTATCACACATGATGTCTTGTTCAAAGCATGCAGAGAAGACCCCATTTAGATAACATACTAAACCTTTCATTTCCATCTGTTCTTGCTGGCTACAGACAAAGCTGGCTGGGAATGGGTCAGGAAGTGGTAGCAGAAACTAAGTAGTGCGGTCAGTGCAAATGACAATGGCACACTCTACAACAGAGGGAGCATTGGATGGACCTGGACAGTGACACCAACCCTTCCCAGAAGCAGTCAAAAGAAATACGTCTGTGGTGAGCAGTGTGGGGAAAAAAAAAAGGAGACCTTTATTGCTAGGGAATATGAGCAAGTGTAGGAAGAGTTGGTTTGAACAAAAAGAAAAAAAGAAGATCCCCATGGCCATGAGGCAGAGAGGGCTTTGGGACCTTCAGAGATACCTTCATTACTATCTAATGAATTTGAAGATTTTCCAGCTGTACTTGCCAGCAGAGGCAAAAACATGCTGCTTGCTCACCCTGTGGTGGGAGGGAAGGGATCGTGCAACCACTGCATAAATAGGAAGACTGCAGGGTCTCCTGGGCCTGTGGATGGAGAGGGACAAGATGGGGATATACATCTTGGAAGTTAATGCTCTGAGATGTCTCAGCGCTTTCATCCTTTCCCACCCAAAACACAGAGTCTGGCTCACACTCCTGCTGCAATTTGAGCCCCACAGGCTCCTGCCACCTTATTCAGAGGGTGATTCCCAGGGGATCCCTAGGACCTCTCTGAACATACAGAAGGTGAGTAGATCAAGCGCTCCAGCTGTGATCAAGGGAAGAGGCTTGATCTGAACCAAGGACTCACCTTGCCTGTGGACTTGACCCCTTTCCAAATGCAGAAGTAACAGATGATCCACGCCAGCAAGAGACACAGAGCCAGCTCCCAGCGCAGGCTGCCCAGGTGCTGGATGCCATCAGAAATCTTTAGCACTCTCCTCCTGCATTGGGGGGAAGTGAAGGAACATCCAAGTGTCACTGATGTTGGCCACTAATGTTCCCAACACCACACTGGTTCTCACCACACCTCCATAGCACCTGATGGCTTTGGGGAGAAGAGCTGTCTTACTAACAAGGCCCAGGTCTAAGCTGCAAGCCTCAGAGGAATCAAGCAGTGCTCCCCTCTTCAAAGTACTACCAGCCTGGCAGATCACGCATTGATGCTGGCTTCTATGCTCACTCCAGTGCTGGCCTGTTGGACCAAGACATTTCTTTTCCTGTCCTCCTCCCACCCTTCATCTGTCTTGTCCTCTAGAGTAAGAGCTCTCTCTCTGCAAGAACATGCAGCACTTTGCACACGCAAGCTCTGCCCAGGCCTTTTTCATGCATGTTACAAAGTTCACCTACATTTCTGACACGCTTCAAACATCAGAGTGAATAATACATTGCACTTACCATGCAGAATCCATCAGGACCCCCAAGAAGCAATGCTGTCCAACCCCTTCTCCATAGCACACTTCTTCTGTCTTTAGGAGCAGCTACATATTTCACCTCAGGACCCAGAGCAGCATAGCATCCCATACCATGACTAAGACGCAACCAAGACCACAATAATCCCCATTGCACGGTCAGAAGAGGCCACCTTGGGCATCCTCTTTCAGCCAGTGTGAAGATAGCATCCTGGGCTAGATGGACCTAGGTTCAGCTAGGGTCTTATGGTCTCACCCTGGCCATATAGCAGTTTCCCATATCATGTGTATGTCAAATCTTCCTCATCACTTACAGAAGTAAGGACCCACCCTCCTCCATCTCCTACACCACACAGATGGATCTGAGCATGAAACACCATGGTGCAGCCCCAAAACCCCAAGCCTGCAACAGGCAGAGAGGGACATGCACTACCCTGGAGCCCAGCAGCAATGCCCACCCTGCTGCAAAAGACAGCAATTATCCCAAAATAAAGGTCATGCTCCTGGAGAACCGCAGTCTAAGATGCACTGCCTCCTTTCCTGCGCCACAGCCTTGTAGCGGATTGAGAGGGGTTGGAAAAAATCACGCTGCTCCACCAGATACGTTTCATCATGTTGCCCTCTGCCTGCTTCTAAGGACATGGACTCTGTAACCAGTGGGGAAAAGGTGCCATTAGACTGTAACTAACTGGGCACTGTACTGCAGCCAGAAGAGGCCTCTGAAGTGTGCCATCAGCCCACTGGCAGGTCAGTGCTTCTCAAGGAAACGGTGGCCTCCTACCTCCCCGCCCAGGGAGGGGAGGAGCGGATGCTGCATCAGAAGCAATGGACAGTGGAAATTTCCAGTCCTGTGTGCTTGTTCCCCAGTAACACAGGGATGGTCACAGCAGCGAGGGAAACATCAACTTTTCCAGCAGCCAGCCTCAGGAAAAGCAGTCAAAGGCAGGCCACCATCTAATCACATGTGAGCAGCCGGCAGAGGAAAAGTGGAGGCTCAGGGAGCACACAGGAGACAAAATTAAAAAAAAAAATAAAGTTTAAAAACAGCATCCCTGTGCTGAGCCAGGGATGCCCTGAAGGTACTGTGCGCTCCACACACTGACAGCACCCAGCAGCACTACTGAGGGCAGCGAGGGCAGAGCCCTCCATCCATCTAAACGCACAAGGGAAATTCACGGTGGCAGCAGAGGGGTTACTTGTACAGTCTATTAGCCACAGCTCAGTGCTTAACTGGGCCTGTTCTCCCAGGAGATGCTGAGGATCATCAGAGATCCCAAGCCAACAGGCCTTTGCCTTCATGCCAGAAATAAAGCTACTCCATACCTCAGGGTAACTAACGCAAGGGGAGAAAACAATGAAAATGAGGGAGCAAATTTCAGTGTGAAGTAAGCTGACTCTAGCACTTCATTTCAATTTTGGTGAGCTTGTCTCCTCAGGATAGCTTGCATATTAGTCACTCTAAAGTGAAAACGTCACCTCTTTTTCTATTTTTAAGATGAAGACTAGCCCACATACAAAAGTCACCACCCACCATGCCAGAGCCTCCTGGGAACATGCTGGTATCACACAGTAGCACGGATTCAAAGGAAAGAGGTCACCTACTGCATCACCAGCATGGACTCCTGCAGTGCATCACAGGGCTTTAAGGTCTCCTTTTCAACAGCTGAACACACTACAGCTTGCAAAACACGCAGACAAAAACCCATTGCAGAGCTGCTGGTTTGTGGATCACCACAAATCTCACCCCACTCCCACCTATAGTCTTGGCACCCATGTCCTGAGCATGGTTACACTGGATGCAGCCACCAGGCAGTCAAGGACTGCATGGGGCAGACTGCTCCAAACGGAACAAGAGCAATGGATAATCCAGCAGACACATAAACTGTAATCAAAACCATAGGGTAAAGGCCACTATACCCTGAGGGGGTGCTACTAATTTTATTGAGGTTTGCACCCTAGGTAAGTCAGAACCAAAGCTTCAGAATGGAGACCATGCAGCCAAATCACCTACACTGCAGGAGGAAACAACTGTATAAGGAAGTTTACAGCTGGCAATGAAGAACAAGGGAGGAGGCAGGGAGAGGAGCAGCACAAATGGAGAAAGGGGGAGTGCAACAGTGGAGGAGGAATAAGGGAGAAAAGGACAATAAATAAAATATCAAGGGCCAGAGGAGGCAAAACATCGGTGAGGCAAGGTTTTGCACAGTCAGCTAGCCATCACTGAGGTCAGTGAGACCAAGAATCTCAAAGAGTCCAGAGGGACAGGAATACGGTGTCAGAGAAGAACAAAGTCAGATGGCTCTGAGGCATGCCAGCACAGCTCCAGACAAACACCACAAGCCCAGCAATGTTACCCTTGACTGATGGTGCTGCCCCTGAGAGCCTTCACTCTGACCTGCCCAGCTTCCTCTCTTGTGTCCTCTTCTGGCAAGGATGGGTTAATAGGACATGCTGCTGCAGGGTTAATTCCTTGCCCAGGGAAGGTGTGTCCCAGAGAAAAGGGGGGTAGAGGTCTGTCCTTTACTTACTCCCAGAACTCGATGACAGGGGACGTGGCGTTTTCGCTGGTCACATTGAGCGTCGAGTTTGCCTTCTGGAGCTCCATGCAGTTCCCTGCAGTAGAGGGCCAGGGAGAGAGGGAGCATAAGTAGCAGTGGCTGAAGTATTGGAGGATCTGGAAGATCCCCCCCTTTCCATCCACAGTGTCAACACTCATTGACATTGACTCTGAGACAAATTTTGCGTAGTCTCAAAGATGCACAAAAGGAGTCCCCTCCAGGGTAAGGCTGCCAAGAAACCTAGGATAATTAAGATGATGGCATTTAATTTTTCCTTCCAGTGGGCATGTTGAGCAGTCCTGACCAGCACTAGGTCTATAGCTAACACACAGCACAGGATGACAGACTGGAAGATGCCAAGAAGGAAGGTGCCTACAGTAGCTGGAGCCCAGAGCAGAAGCCACTGGGGAGGCCACCAGTGGATGGGTGCTGCAAGTGGTTGGGCAGTGCCAGGACTGGTGCTCTCTGGCAAAGACCCAGATCAATGAGCCTCTTCCCTAAAAGTGTCAGCAGCACTGCAGTGACCCAGCACTCCCCACCCCTATGACCAGCGGTCCCACCCATGCAGGGGCAAGCCACTTTCCTGAGGTTTGGCCCCGGGCAGCAACAGGTTTCCCTCAGCCAGGATCTGGTGGAGGATTAGGAGGGGGCTCCACACCCACCTGTGTTCCACTCGTGGTCGCAGCTGCCCCAGGGGAGGTCAATGGTGAACGAACTGAAGAGATAAAACAAGGCCCAGGCCAGGACAATGATGTAGTAGAAGTTCAGCAGTATGACGATGACCTGTGAGGCGTAGCCAATTCCTGCAGAAAGCGAGCCCCAAAGGCAGGTGACCCACGCGCCAGGGGACGGGAACAGGACTCCCCTTGGGAGGTGGTCACCCAACGTTTTCATCTGCTGCTCTGCATTTTGACTGTGCTGCCGGGTGAATGCCAGTGGGGTGGCCACCAGAGCCATGACCCCCTCCCCAAAGCCCACTGTGCCACATCAGCAGGGGTCCAAGCAGGGGCCCCGGGGACCCTCTCTTCCTGCTGCCCCACTGCAGCCTTCCCTGGTGAAAGAGTGGCAATGGGAGGGAGTCTGGGCAGGGGATGAGCAGATTATGATTGGAAAGTGACCCAAAGGGACAGAAACATATGATGGTGCTCCACCTGCTGAATAACACCTCTTCTGACAAAATTCACTTTTTATTTTGTTTGTTCATCCCTTTTCACTTATGTTTGGGAAGCTTTTGTATTAGCACCACACACCTTCTCTGGGAGGTGCTGGAGGAGCATCTAAAGGTTTTGGTATGTAGGGAGGAGGCAACTGAGACTTTCAGAGAAATCATGGAAAGTGGCTTGAGGCTGGATGACTGTGCTGAAATACTGCTAGAAGTGGATCTGACAGCTAATGATTCATTAAGACAGCTGACACCTTCACCATTAAAGTTTTAAGCCATCTGCAAACTCAGGACAATGATACAGCATTGACTTAAAAAAATTAGTAGCATGTTTTAGGTTTCTCATAACTGCCAGAAGCATTTTCATCATTTAGCTCTTGGAGGACATCCTTGACTGGGCACAAAACTCCTGGCCAGAGCCACAGCCATGAAGAAGGAAATCAGAATGCAACGTAACGATGGGAACTGTTTGGTGAAAAAGGCAATCAATTTTTCCAGCCTGATTTTGGAAAGGGGGCAGCCAGTGGCTCTCCCAGGCTGGGATCCCCAGGGGTGGGCAGCAGACGCATGGAGGTACATAATGATCCACGCTGTGGGGAGAGGCATCACCACTCGTCCCCCCAGGGCCCTGCCATCCCCCCACCTTGCCATGCCCTCCCAGGTTCACCCCACTCACCTTCAAAGAGGGGACAGATCCTGCGCCAGGCCGTCACCCCTCCCTGGCTGGTGTACTGCCCCAGCGCCGTCTCCAGAAAGAAAACGGGGATCCCGCAGGTGAAGAGGAAGATGAGATAGGGGATGAAGAAGGCACCTGGCACATTCAAGTGGCAGACAGGAAAAATAAGCCCCGTGGGGTGACTGGGGTCAGGCTGTCTCCAACCTGGCACGGGGCAGGTCCCTCCCAGGGATGGGGGCTGTGGGGCAGGAAGACCAGGGAAGGGATGCCAGGAAAAAGGGATTTTCCCCACATTTAATCTCCTGGAGTGATGCGATTCACTGAGAAACTCAACATTTAGAAAAGATGGAGAGGAAAGGAAAGTTTCTAGGCCTGATTTTTGTGCAGAAAAGAGTGAAACAAATTCTCAGTAGCTGTATAGAAATACAGGAGAACACCCAGCTGTAAAACCATTGTGACTTTTAATCAAGTTGGTGACACCTTTCACATTGATTATTCTGACTGAATAAGCTGACAAGCCCATGGATGACAACACCAAGGCACTGAGGAGCACATAGAGACTGACACCTTCACCCCGTCTGTGGCTTTACTCAATCATTTGCTCACCGAAAAGCAGCAGACACGCAAATGAAAAGTAAGTAGTGCAGGAAAGCGTGTACCTCACGCCAGCAGCTAGGGCTGCCCTCCTGTTCAAGCCCTGTCATGAAACCGGGCAGGGAGAGATAAAATGCATCAGGCTTCTCGTTACCCCAGGCTAATGTTAAATGCAGTAATGGCTTTTACCCCACAGAGACAGCCCTGCAATATGGTCTGCGCTCCCTGCTGCACTCATGTGCCACCAGAGCTGCTCAAGCCCTGCTGCAAAGGCAGGGACATGGGGCAGGATGGGGAGATGGCGTGGAAAGGGGTAGCCCCGAGCAGAGAGCAGCAGCTGAGCTGCGGCAGGCTCAGAGGGGCACGCAGGTTTGGAGGTGGCAACCCAGCGAGCCGCTAACTGCGGTTTCCCTGCATAGGCCTTTCCTGTGCCAGTGAAATGCTAACTGGCTCTGGGATCTGGTTGATGGGGGTGTATGGGAAAGAATAATCCCAGTGTACAAGTAAACTCAAAACCCAAGAGAATTCCTTAAGAAGCTTAGATAGCATGTAGGGGCAAGGAGAGGAAAGGGGGATTTTAGGGACCGGCCAGAAGTCCCATCCCGCGCTCACCCCAGAGGGGTACAGAGCCACAATCCTGCCCTTCTTGCAAAAAAATGCAATCAACAAAATAGACAGGGAGAGCATCTTGGCAGCTGCCTGTGGGGAAACAGCAGCTGAAGGGATGCTGATACCTGGCAGCCCCGGGGAACGACAAGCACCTGCCCCCATGCTCTCCCTCTACCAGCAAATAGAAGCTGGTGAGGGCAAAGGGCAGGGGAAATGGTTGTATCAACACCATCCCCTCAACTTCCAACTTGCGTGCAATCATATTATCATAAAAGTGGACCCTATTTCCAAGAGAGATTATTCTCTTATAAAAGTTTGTATTTAACTAAACTGCAGCCAGGGTCTCCGAGGTGGCAGGTTGAGGTCTCCAGCCTCAGTTTCCCTTATTTGCAGCCTGCAGTCTGCCCTGTCACCTTCCTCAGCACCTCTGGTTATCTCAGGTTTTGCGCTTTGGAAGTCTAACTGGAGGATCCGGACATGCAGGCTGTGAAATAATACAAAATTATGGTGGAGTGAAGAAGGCATTTGCAGAGACATATTTGGGCCAGGGGCTGTGATCTGCCCCACTCACCTCACCCCCCAGGTGGGGGGACAGGCAGGGTGGGACGACCCAGCCCCACCACCACTCCCCATCTCATTTCAGCTGGCAGGGGGCTGCTGCTTGCCCCTATAGGCAGGACGGCCGTCAGGCAGGGTCTGCGAGGAGCAAAAGCTGAGGAGAGGCACCCAACCGAGCCGCCCTGCACAATGACTCT